CATATTATGTATGACATTGTACCCACATATTGTGTATGACATTCACCCACATGTTATGTATGACATTGTACCCACATATTGTGTATGACATTCACCTTCATTATGTATGACATTGTACCCAAATATTATGTATGACATTCACCCACATATTATGTATGACATTGTACCCACATAATGTGTATGACATTCACCCACATTATGTATGACATTGTACCCACATATTGTGTATGACATTCACCCACATGTTATGTATGACATTGTACCCACATTTTGTGTATGACATTCACTCACATTATGTATGACATTGTACCCAAATATTATTTATGACATTCACCCACATATTATGTATGACATTGTACCCAAATATTATGTATGACATTGTAACCACATATTATGTATGACATTCACCCTCATATTATGTATGACATTGTACCCACATATTGTGTATGACATTCACCCACATTATGTATGACATTGTACTCACATTGTGTATGACATTGTTCCTACGTATGTACCCATATATTATGTACACTGTATGATACAGTACTTGGAGTGTTTCCCTCCCATTACAACTGGTCACCTATAGTGGACACATATAACGAAGGGATCAACACATTCTGTATGGGGGACAACATAGAAATCTACTGATAGTGATAGGATGGGACCTTTCCTATTGTACTGACCTGTGTCAAGCTGCTTTATAAACATTATTACAAGCCATGTCAATAATTCAAGTTTAACATTCTTCACTACTTTTGTTTATATTATCTGTGGGTGATTATTTCAAATTCTAGGCCATAAATAGTTTTTTTTTATGATACAAAATTATCACTGATTTATAATTTACCGTATCACAACTGACTACTGTGCTTGGCGTTATATACCACCCAGTATAAATACCTAGTAGGTATAAATAAGGCCTTCCCACCACCCCACTTAAAGGTCAGGCCGTAGGTCTTATCACAAGATACTGTAGTAAGACTTACACACACTTTAGACTGAGTGTGAATATATAGGTAATGAGAATTTAGTCATAGACCTATGTGTGTATGTAGATCTACATGTATATTTTGTAGGTCTGTCTTGTACCTGGTTTCCCTATGTGGAGGGCTTGATGGGTGACTCTATAAAGACAAGTGTACAATGTGTTTATACCTGGTTGTCTCTTGATGATTATTTTAGAATACCAGGGGTAATCATTAATAAGTGCCAGTTTTGACTTTTTGCTATTGGTAAACACCGTTTTAATAAGTTTATTTTTAGAGTCTTTGAAAAAGGACCCAATATGGGATATTTGTGGATATCAATCTTCAAAGGGCTACTTCTCATGAAGGAGTATATAAATATTGACCAAATTTAACATTTAATATCAGTAGGACACATGGAAATTGAATGTTATTTAAATGAAATATTTTGAACTTTAAGAGTCTGGCCTGTGATTAAAGACCTATCAGTGACAAAGGGCAGTGTTAATCCATGTAGCGATTGTTTCTTAACATGTAGATTTTCTGTCTGACCATGTAGGTTTACTGTCTGACCATGTAGGTTTCCTGTCTGACAGTTAACCTACATGGTTAGACAGTAAACCTACATAGACAGACAGAAAACCTACATAGTCAGATAGAAAACCTACATAGTCAGATAGAAAACCTACATAGTCAGATAGAAAACCTACATAGTCTGACCATGTAAGCTTCCTGTCTGACCATGTAGCTTTACTGTCTGACCATGTAGGTTAACTGTCTGACCATGTAGGTTTTCTGTCTGACTATGTAGGTTTACTGTCTGACCATGTAGGTTTACTGTCTGACCATGTAGGTTTACTGTCTGACCATGTAGGTTTACTGTCTGACCATGTAGGTTTACTGTCTGACCATGTAGGTTTACTGTCTGACCATGTAGGTTTACTGTCTGACCATGAAGGTTTACTGTCTCACCATGTAGGTTAACTGTCTGACCATGTGGGTTTACTGGCTGACCATGTAGGCTTACTGTCTGACCATGTAGGTTTACTGTCTCACCATGTACGCTTACTGTCTGACCATGTAGGTTAACTGTCTGACCATGTAGGTTTACTGGCTGACCATGTTGGTTTACTGTCTGACCATGTAGGTTTACTGTGTGACCATGTACGTTTACTGTCTGACCATATAGGTTTACTGTCTGACCATGTAGGTTAACTGGCTGACCATGTTGGTTTACTGTCTGACCATGTAGGTTTACTGTCTGACCAGGTATGTTAACTGTCTGACCATGTAGGTTTACTGTCTGACCAGGTATGTTAACTGTCTGACCATGTAGGTTTACTGTCTAACCATATAGGTTTACTGTCTGACCATGTATGTTTACTGTCTGACCATGTAAGCTTACTGTCTGACCATGTAGGTTTACTGTCTGACCATGTTAGCTTACTGTCTGACCATGTAGATTTACTGTCTAACCATGAAGGTTTACTGTCTGACCATGTGGGTTTACTGGCTGACCATGTGGGTTTACTGTCTGACCATGTAGATTTACTGTCTAACCATGTAGGTTAACTGGCTGACCATGTTGGTTTACTGTCTGACCATGTAAGCTTACTGTCTGACCATGTAAGCTTACTGTCTGACCATGTAGGTTTACTGTCTGACCATGTAAGCTTACTGTCTGACCATGTAGGTTAACTGTCTGACCATGTGGGTTTACTGGCTGAACATGTGGGTTTACTGTCTGACCATGTAGGTTTACTGGCTGACCATGTACGCTTACTGTCTGACCAAGCAGATTTACTGTCTGACCATGTAAGCTTACTGTCTGACCATGTAGGTTTACTGTCTGACCATGAACGTTTACTGTCTGACCATGTAAGGTTTACGTTCTGACCATGTAGGTTAACGGTCTGACCATGTGGGTTTACTGGCTGACCATGTGGGTTTACTGTCTGACCATGTAAGGTTTACTGTCTGACCATGAACGTTTACTGTCTGACCATGTATGTTGACTGTCTGACCATGTAGGTTTACTGACTGACCATGTACGCTTACTGTGTGACCAAGCAGATTTACTGTCTGACCACGTAAGCTTACTGTCTGACCATGTAGATTTACTGGCTTACCATGAAGGTTTACTGTCTGACCATGTTAGTTTACTGGCTGACCATGTAGGTTTACTGCCTGACCATGAAGGTTTACTGTCTGACCATGTAGGTTTACTGTCTGACCATGTACGTTTACTGTCTGACCATGTAAGCTTACTGTCTGACCATGTAGCTCTACTGTCTGACCATGTAGGTTAACTGTCTGACCATGTGGGTTTACTGGCTGACCATGTGGGTTTACTGTCTGACCATGTAGGTTTACTGGCTGACCATGTACGCTTACTGTCTGACCATGCAGATTTACTGTCTGACCATGTAAGCTTACTGTCTGACCATGTAGCTTTACTGTCTGACCATGTAGGTTTACTGTCTGACCATGTTAGGTTTAAATTACTGTCTGACCATGTAGGTTTACTGTCTGACCATGTAGGTTTACTGTCTGACCATGTAGGTTAACTGTCTGACCATGTAGGTTTACTGTGTGACCATGTAGGTTTACTGTCTGACCATGTAAGGTTTACTGTCTGACCATGTAGGTTAACTGTCTGACCATGTGGGTTTACTGGCTGACCATGTGGGTTTACTGTCTGACCATGTAGGTTTACTGGCTGACCATGTAGGTTTACTGTCTGACCATGAAGGTTTACTTTCTGACCATGTAGGTTTACTGTCTGACCATGTAGGATTACTGTCTGACCATGTAAGCTTACTGTCTGACCATGCAAGTTTACTGTCTGAGCATGTAGGTTTACTGTCTGACCATGTAAGCTTACTGTCTGACCATGTATGCTTACTGTCTGACCATGTAGGTTTACTGTCTGACCATGTACGCTTACTGTCTGACCATGTAGGTTTACTGTCTGACCATGTAGATTTACTGTCTGACCATGTAAGCTTTCTGTTTGACCATGTAGGTTTACTGTCTGACCATGTAGTTTTTTTTAATGCTACTTCAATTCTGTGTCCTCCCACATTAAGACCCAGTTGCTCCAATCACCCAATATGCTTCTATCCGGACCGTCTGGAGTGAAATTGATAGAAATTATATTTTGCATGTCTGAATATGACTGTTACCCATTACGATCGCGCAGTCAATTGCCAATTTTGATGAAAAAAAATCAATATGAAAAATATTATTCAAACTAACCTCATTGAATATCTGTTCCCCATAGTATCAAGTCATTCAAAATGGTGGGTGTTCAAAATGACTGAAGAATGATCTCAAGAACAGTGTAGAGGGACTGGACTGGGTTGATCTTCGGCTACCACGTAGCTCAATTGGTAGAGCGTCTGTCTAGATTTTGAAGGGGCCTGGGTTTGAACCCCGGTCTGGTCATGCATTTTCCCACTCCTACTACAAAAGCATTCATGTGAACTGTTGTTATATTTTACAGCACCAGGCTTCGACAGGAATGCCTGGATGAGTGTCAAAGAATCTATTGGTTTAGATTTCCCAAATGTAGGTATACAGAGTCATTGGTCAAAAATAGTTCTAAAATTACAAAGTGTTCAACAGTCCTTGTCTTGACCTCTTAATAAATGTTTATAGTGGCATTGAGTTCATCCTAAATGTGCATACGCAAAGTCAATAATCATATTCATTTGGACTCTTGTGTCTGTAGATTGTAATCCCTTTGATGGTCAAGATCTCAAAAGAAAAAGTGAAAATTTCAGATAACCTATAGCTATATCATTTAGATGGATATATCCTGATCAGACAAATGTGTTGTAGTAGGTGAAATGTATTTTCATCTGACCAAACATTGTGTCGCAGTAGAGGACATGTATGGTTTTGCTATACCTATAAGTATGGTAATCTTTATTTGAAATTGGACGTTTGGTTGGGTAGCCATGGTATTTTGTCTACAGCTCCTTCATACTAAACGATCACTGCTAACACATGTCACATACTTTGCACCGGAGATCAAATGAAGAAAATTGATATTCAGTTTTTACTTTCCAGCTTCCCTATTATATGGACGATGATGTGAAAATAACTCAGAGTAACACCATCATTAGGTACATTGCTGGCAAATATGACCTCCGTAAGTACAATGTATTAACGGTAACAATATTAACCCTGTTTGTGTGGTAATTAAGACATATGACAGTCTAAGAGCACTAGCCATCCACCACTGGATTATAATTATTGGTTCAAGGCCTACATGGGGCAGTTACGTACCGTTTTACCTCCACCACCACCAAACCCTGGCACATTTTAAAATGACTATGGCTGTCATTAGGACATAAAACACAAACTGTTCATGTGCTTACATGATTTAGACCTTCAGTTTTGATATGACCTCTGTCAAGTTCTGTGGTTCTGTGAAACATGTTCATAAGATGTTCAGAGATTTAAGGAAGTATTTTTCTACAGGTATAATGGCTATTTTGATTGCCTAAATACTAAATCATAGTTTTAAACTGTCCTGATGCTGACCATATGAATGATATATGAGTTTTTCTGTATATATTGAGGTAATGGAAACTCCAGTACAGACTTCATAATAAAATTCTATATAAAAGTTTTAAAATTTAATATTTTAAAATGAAGTTTTCTTGTTTTAGCAACTCATTAATTGTATAATTTGATATGTGTTCTGTACAATACATGCTACAAATGTAACATAATAATGCAGTGTTATTTTAAAAGTTTCAGAAAATCAATATCCTTCTTTATAATAAAAACTAGCAATGTACAAAACTTACATTGTATAAAACCTACTATATAATAACATTGTACAAAACTAACATTATACAACACTAATAATGTACGAAACTAACAATGTTCAACACTAACATTGTACAAAACTTATTATATAATAACATTGTACAAAACTAACATTATACAACACTTATAATATACGAAACTAACAATGTACAAAACTAACATTATACAACACTAATAATGTACGAAACTAACAATGTACAAAACTTACATTGTACAACACTAATAATGTACGAAACTAACATTGTACAAAACTTACATTGTACAAAACTTCAATTGTACAGAACAAAAATACACTGTATAAAACTTAAAATGTATCTGCATCACCCTTGGAAACAACAAAATTTCATCTGGCTGATAAGGAAAGACACCATTTTGTTCTAGTAATATATTTAATGATAAATGTTGGATAGATATTAAGGCAAACTATAAATAGATAGATACTAAGGCATAAAGATTAATGATAAACTTTGGATAGATACTAAGGCATAAAGATTAATGATAAACTTTGGATAGATACTAATGAGGCCGAAAGATTAATGATCAACTTAAGATATATTCTAACGAAGCATAAAGATTAAGGATAAACTTTGGATAGATACTAACGAAGCATAAAGATTAAAGATAAACTTTGGAAAGATACTAACGGGGCATAAATATTAATGATAAACTTTGGATAGATACTAAGGCCTAAAGATTAATGATAAACTTTGGATAGATTCAACGAAGCATAAAGATTAACAATAAACTTTGGATAGATACTATAATGAGGCTTAAAAATTAATGATAATATTTGGATAGATACTAAGGAAGCATAAAGATTAATGATAACTTTGGATAGATACTATAATGAGGCTTGAAAATTAATGATAATCTTCGGAAAGATACTAAGGAAGCATAAAGATTAATGATAACTTTGGATAGATACTAATGAGGCCTAAAGATTAATGATAAACTTGGGATAGATTCTAACGAAGCATAAAGATTAATGATAAACTTTCGATAGATACTAACGAAGCATAAAGATTAATGATAAACTTTGGAAAGACACTAACGAGGCATAAAGATTAACGATAAACTTTGGATAGATACTATAATGAGGCATAAAAATTAAAGATAAACTTTGGATAGATACTAACGAAGCATAAAGATTAATGACAAGCTTTGGATAGATACTAACGAAGCATAAAGATTAATGATAATTTTGGATAGATACTAACGAGGCATAAAGATTAATGATAAACTTTGGATAGATACTAAAGAGGCATTAAGATTAATGATAAACTTTGGATAGATAGTAACGAGGCATAAAGATAAATGATAAACTTTGAATAGAACTAACAAGGCATTAAGATTAATGATAAACTTTGGATAGATTTAACAAGGCATATACAAATTAATGATTACTTTGGATAGATACTAACGTGGCATAAAGACCTCACTTTATCTTAAGATAGCCATAATATTTTGTGTGAATATCTGTTTCAGTGGGTAAGACTAAAGAAGAGAAAGTCCTTTGTGACATGATGCTAGAAAACGCCATGGATTTCCGGAATGGAACTGTTCGACTTTGCTACAATCCCGACTATGTAAGTCGATAATCAGTGACACAGATCAGGTTATAAGTTTGAGTTTATATAAAGATTCAGCCATTGTTACTGTTTTACTTTTAACTGACGTTGAGTGTTAGTTGTACACGCTGGTACTTCTGACATAGACATTGGTGCATGTAATGATAGAATTGTATTGTAGTTATTATACCTTTATTTTGTTATCAGTTAAAACAGCTGTATGATCTAATATATAATGGGATACACACCTACATGTGTGCTTGACAATCTTTTGATTCTTTACAAAATAATGTACTATAGTTAAGGATATAAAATGTTGAGAGCTTTATAAATAAACACTTCTTTCTATTTATATTTCAGGATAGTATAAAAGATGCCTACTTTGATAGGTTGTTTAAGGTTATCCTTCCTACATTTGAGAAATTCTTGGGTAAAAACTCCTGGTTCGCTCGTGGTGAAAGTGTAAGTAAAATCCAATACAGACGCAGTGTATGAAAAGCAAAATATACATATATTTAATGTCATGATCTATACATATATATACACTGAAATGTATTACCGGGTATGTTCTCATTGTCCTGTAGATATATGTTCTCATTGTCCTGTAGATATAAGTTCTCATTGTCCTGTAGATATATGTTCTCATTGTCCAGTTGATATATGTTCTCATTGTCCTGTAGATATATGTTCTCATTGTCCAGTAGATATATGTTCCCATTGTCCTGTAGATATATGTTCTCATTGTACTGTAGATATATGTTCTCATTGTACAGTAGAGATATGTTCTCATTGTCCTGTAGATATAAGTTCTCATTGTTCAGTAGATATATGTTCTCATTGTCCTGAAGATATATGTTCTCATTGTCCTGTAGATATAAGTTCTCATTGTACAGTAGATATATGTTCTCATTGTACTGTAGATATATGTTCTCATTGTACAGTAGAGATATGTTCTCATTGTCCTGTAGATATATGTTTTCATTGTCCAGTTGATATATGTTCTCATTGTCCTGTAGATAGATGTTCTCATTGTCCAGTAGCTATATGTTCTCATTGTCCTGTAGATATAAGTTCTCATTGTACAGTAGATATATGTTCTCATTGTGCTGTAGATATATGTTCTCATTGTACAGTAGAGATATGTTCTCATTGTCCTGTAGATATAAGATCTCATTGTACAGTAGATATATGTTCTCATTGTCCTGTAGATATAAGTTCTCATTGATCAGAAATAGTATATGTTGAAGCAGAAAAGTTTTTGAAAATGATGAATGAATTATTTTGGTCCAGGTGACGGCTTGTGATTTCCCGATGTACGAACTTCTGGACCAACACACTCTGATGAAGCCTGGTTGCCTTGATGACTTCCCAAACCTTACAGCTTTCCAAAAACGCTTTGAGGATCTACCGAAGATTAAGGAATACTTAAAAGATCCAAGTTACATTGCCTTTCCTGTCAACAACAAGGTGGCTAAGTTTAGGTAGATAATGGATGTTCCCATGTCATAAGATTCTTCTAATTCAGTGGAAAACTACTTTACAATATTGGAATGAACTTGAAAAAAAAGGTTTAACATTTCTGTTTCAAGGTAAAATTATCTTCAAAATTTGTATTCCATTTTGTTTTTATCTTTTACAATTTTTTTTGTTATTAATTTACAATGGTATTGAAGACAGTTTTATGCATTTATATTGATGACTCTCGTTGTACCTAATTGAAGTATGCATGGGGTCGTAATGGATCTGTTTGCATATGAATAAGGAAGTAAGCAGTGAAATGGCTAAAAGTAATGAAATAAATGTGATGTTTGGACATTTCTACCATTGACCATTCCTTCTAAACACTTAACATGTAATCTGAACAGTTTTTTATGGCAAAGCTTTGAAGTTTATAATGATGGTGCTCAAATGGATAGAGTGAATCTACTCCATAGCTTGTTATATGCATGGCTCACAGGGCATACGCGACTAATTAACGGTCAGGGTACATTTTAGTCTTATGTTACAGGAAAACTATTCAGCAGCTTTTTATATTGGTTTTGTTTATCTTGTATTTTTGTTAGTGTACATGTCTACCCCTTGTGATGTTGCTTGGTCACTATTGGTCTTTTTCAGACCAGTATAACATCCCGTTATTTTCAGTAGCGGTTAAACTGTAATCAAGATTAGCAGTTAGGGGGATATAATGTAGATATTGTGAATCACTGGGATTTTGCTAAGATATTCATATTCACCTGCAATTGTATGAAAAGACTATCATGAATTCAAACTTTTCAAAAATATGTATTCATACAGAAACACCTATAAACCTTAAATATATATCTTAAGTGGTCACTCTATCATGTCCAAGTCACAAATCCCAGTGAAGACATTGTTGGAAAACAATCGAAGTATTCATAAAAATCCTTCAATTCATAGCATGGAAAATAGTTATAGTTTAAGATATTATCGCAACTTTGTTAGAATATCCTAAATAAGAAATTTTAAAGCATATCATAATAGCTTTTTGATGTCATCTGTCTACTATAAGGCCAGTCAGTTACTGAACACTTCTTAATTGTCTCATTCCAAAAATGTAATTTTTCATGTTTAGGTTCAGTTTGGCCAAACATGTTTCATTAATTAAGTACATAATTTTATAATTAGCTTCAAATTAAAACTGCTTTGATTTGTTACGTTATTTTCTAATCTGCAATTTGTTTTTCCTTCTTTTGCAAAGAAGATTAACTTGCAAATTTTCATTAACAGTTCCATGTAATTTGAAAGCTTATGTCAAACTGTCTGTTAATAAAGTTGTTCCTAAAGCAAATGATGCGTTCTAGTTTTTAGCTCACCTGCCTGAAGAGCAAGTGAGCTTATATCATGGTGGGGCGTCTGTCGTCTGTCATCCGTCCATCAACTTTTCCTTTAAACGACTTCTTTTGAAGAACTGAAAGGTATAGAATCATAATATTTGGCTGGTGGCATGGGTTCCTGAGATGGAGCCTGACAAAGTTTGAGAATGAAAATGACCTGAACCTACTTTCAAGGTCACAGGGATCAAATATGTCAAATGCTTCAAACAGCTTCATTTTAAAAAGATATTTAAACAAATTCATCTAGACTTTATGGCACATGTTTAGTATTAACTCTCTTTATAGACATTTAAATGGTATATAACTGTATAACTAGTGAAGCATGCTTCAGCTTATCGAAATAAATAGTTCTCATCATAAATACTTCTTTCCATGGACAGATCACTGTATACAGGAACATAGTCAAATATTCGCCCTTCACTGGTTAAGTCCATATCTATGCAGTGTTGACTTTGCACTTCACATTACTATGGTGTGGTGTCTAGTTGTTGTCATGATAAATTCACTCATTGCAGAGGGCGAAAGTGCAGCAAATTTCCCCGGTATACAGAAGTGGATTCTTCAAATAAGAAGTAGTCACCTTGAGTACCATGGATAGTTGCCATACCTACATTTCAAATATCAAAGGTTCAATCGACTGGTCACTGGTGTCTAGGAATGATGGTCAACATGGTCAATCAAAAGGTTTCTAGTGTCAAGGGAGACTGGTTGTTTTGGGCAGTTGTCTGGTGTCAAGGGTAGGCAAGCAGATGATAATTGTGGGACCTGTTCCTCTTGTCAAAAGAGATTGGTAATCATGAACAGGTGTCCATAGAGGTGATGATCATAAGGGACATATGTCTGGTGTCCCAGGAGGATTGTCAGTTAAGACAGGTTCCTGGTGTATAAAGAGGCTGGTCATTACCAGGTTGTTGTCTCCAGGTGACAAGGACACTTAGTTATGACCTGGTTCTCGTCTCCAGGTGTCAAGGATACTTAGTAATGACCAGGTTCTTGTCTCCAGGTGACAAGGATACTTAGTAATGACCAGGTTCTTGTCTCCAGGTGACAAGGATAATTAGTAATGACCAGGTTCTTGTCTCCAGGTGTCAAGGATACTTCGTAATGACCAGGTTCTTGTCTCCAGGTGACGAGGATACTTAGTAATGACCAGATTCTTGTCTCCAGGTGCCAAGGATACTTAGTAATGACCAGGTTCTTGTCTCCAGGTGACAAGGATAATTAGTAATGACCAGGTTCTTGTCTCCAGGTGAAAAGGATACTTAGTAATGACCAGATTCTTGTCTCCAGGTGACGAGGATACTTAGTAATGACCAGGTTCTTGTCTCCAGGTGACAAGGATACTTAGTAATGACCAGATTCTAGTCTCCAGGTGACAAGGATAAATAGTAATGACCAGGTTCTTGTCTCACGGTGACAAGGATAATTAGTAATGACCAGGTTCTTGTCTCCAGGTGACGAGGATACTTAGTAATGACCAGGTTCTTGTCTCCAGGTGAAAAGGATAATTAGTAATGACCAGGTTCTTGTCTCCAGGTGAAAAGGATACTTCGTAATGACCAGGTTGTTGTTTCAAGGTATCAAATATACTTAGTTTCTCGTGTCCACTGGATAAGGTTACCCTCATGATGATTCTTGTCCAAAGGGCTACCATAGCAAGATATCAATGTTTTAGGGTTGGGTATCTTTCGCTCACCTTGCACAAAGTGCCAGTTGTGCTTATGGTATAGTGTGTTGTCTGTCGTCTGTTAATTTTTTCTTCGAAATTTACTCCAATAAAATGTGTTGGCCCTACTTTGAAGGTCACAGGTGTCAAAAATGTAAACTCTTTAAACAATATCTTCTGAATAACCAGGAAGCTCAGAGTAATACTACTTGGCCAGTATAGGTACCTGGCATGAAGTGCTATATTTCCTCAAAAAGATGACCTTGACCTCCTTTAAAGATCACAGGGTCAAATGTGTTCAAAACCTTCACACATCTTCTTCAGAATAATCAGGAGGCCCAGACTACTGATACTTGGCCAGTAGGTACCTAGGACGAAGTGATATAAAGTTTCTTCAAATAAATGACCTAGATCTAGACCTACTTTCAAGGTCACAGGTGTCAAATATGTAAAAACCTTTAAACAGTATCTTCTGAACAAGAGGCCCAATAGGCCTGAATCGCTCACCTGGTATTGTTAATCTCACACTTGTAATCTTTAAAGTGGACTAAAATACAACTACAGACGAATATCAGTGTTTGAATCTATCAAAAGATTTAAACATATTATGCCTGTGACCTTGAATAATGAACAAGGACATAAGGTTGAACAGAGTTTACAGTCTTCCAACATGCTTCTAGCAAAATATCATTACCCTGGAAATTTTGGTTATACAGAACAAATCATTTAAAGATTTAAACATATTTGACCCATGTGACCTTGAATATATGTCAAGGTCATTCATTTGAACAAACTTGGTAGCCCTTCATCCCAGCATGTTATTGGCCAAATTCATGCACCCTAGGCCTTTTGGTTATTCAGAAGAGGTTGTTGAAATGTGTTTAACATATTTAACCCCAGTGACCTTGAATATGATTCAAGGTCATTCATTTGAACAAACTTGGTTGTCCTTCATCCCAGCATGTTACTGGCCAAATATCATTATCCTAGGCCTCTTGGTTATTCAGAAGAAGTTGTTTAAAGATTTTAACATATTTGACCCCTGTGACCTTGAATATGTCAAGGTCATTTATTTGAACAAACTTGGTAGCCCTTCATCCCAGCATTTTACTGGCCAAATATCATCACCCTAGGCCTCTCAGTTATTCAGTAGAATTCATTAAAGGTTTTAAACATATTTGACCCCTGTGACCTTGAATATAAATCAAGATCATTTATTTGAACAAACTTGGTAGCCTTTCATCTTAGCATGTTACTGGCCAAATATTACCACCCTAGGCCTCTAGGTTATTCAGAAAAAGTTGTTGAAAGGTTTTAACATATTTGACCCCTGTGACCTTGAAAATGGATGTAGGTCATTTATTTGAACAAACTTCATCCCAGCATGCTTCTGGCCAAATATCATCACCCTATGCCTTTTGGTTCCTGAGAAGAAGTTGTTTAAAGTAAAAAGTTGACGATGGACGGACGACGGAGGGATGCCGCACCATGCCATAAGCTCACTTGGCCCTTCGGGCCAGGTGAGCTAATAACCAGGAAGCAGAGTAATACTACTTGGCCAGTAGGTACCTGGCATGAAGTGCTATGTTTCCTCAAATAAATGACATTGACCTACTTCAAAGATATCAAGGGTCAAATGTGTTTTAAACCTTTAAACAACTTCTTCTGAAAAACCAGGAGGCCCAGAGTACCGATACTTGGCCAGTAGGTACCTGGGACAAAGTGATGTAAAATTTCCTCAAATAAATTACCTAGATCTAGACCTACTTTCAAGGTCAAGGGGTCAAATATGCAAGAACTTTCAAACAAGTTCTTTCGATTAACCAGGAGGCGCAGAGTACCGATATTTGGCCAGTAGGTACCTGGGACAAAGTGATGTAAAATTTCCTCAAATAAATTACCTAGATCTAGACCTACTTTCAAGGTCAAGGGGTCAAATATGCAAGAACTTTCAAACAAGTTCTTTCGATTAACCAGGAGGCCCAGAGTGATGATACTTGGCCAGTTACTACCTTGGACAGAGTGCTATAAAGTTTCCTCAAATAAATGATTTTGACCTACTTTTGAGGTCACAAGGGTCAAATATGTAAAACTTTAAACAACTTCTGATTAACCAGAAAACCGAGAGTAATGATACTCTGCCATTGGATACCTGGGACAGAGTGCAACAAAGTTACCTCAAATAAATGACCTTGACCTACTTCAGAGGTCATAGGGGTCAAATATGTGAAAACTTTCAAACAACTTATTCCGATTAACCAGGAGGCCCAGAGTAATGATACTTGGTCAGTAAGTACCTGGGACAGAGTGCTATATAGTTCCCCCAAATTAATTACCTTGACCTACTTTCAGTCACAGTAGTCAAATATGTAAATATCTTTAAATCACTTCTTCCGCAACACCAGGAGGCACGGGGAAACGATATTTAACCAGAAGTGTGCTGGGATAGAGTAGAATCAAGTTTCATTTAGTCTGGAACATTCTCAAGCCAAGCCGACTCAATATATGGAAATATTTGCAAAAGTACTTTTATTGAGAATATTTTTCCACGATCTGGGCCTCTTGTTTTTTTTGTTCTCTCAAGTGATCATGAACTTCATTTATCAGTTCTTGATAAAATAGGTACACAAGTTCGACAATTCAAGCTTATAACTGTTCGATGTTCATCATCTTACATGTATTCACTGTTCAGGATTATTCTGGGATAATATCCAGACCAACAAACACTATTTTGTGTGATACACGAGACATGATGTGGTTACCTAATGGCAAAGAACAACACTACACATCCATTTTGTTGTATCTTGTATTTTTGATCTGCTGATAACTGTTGAATGCACAGGACAAATATATATATATATATAGTTGTAGTACTATGTACAATATAAATTCACATTACGACAACAGCGAGTATTGACACTAAAGCTGACAAAATCATATTTCTACTTGTTTTCCAATTAAATTACAGTCATTCTTATCAAATGAGATGAATACAAAGATACTTTTTCATGTGTCGTGAAAGCATCTACGCAATCAGCTCATTCAGACATTCATGAATAAACCAGAACTCATCAAGATAACACTAGTTACATTATGTATCCTTACATACAACACAGCACTGCATAGCTGACCAGTTCACACGTCTATAAACAATGCCACATCTTCTTCATTCTAGTCACAAGGCATTCCGGAATATTGCAGGAAAATTTTCATTTGTTCAAAACACCACAAAGAAAGAGTAAATTGATGTTAAGGATACTTTTATGTCTTGCTTTGTTGAAATGTGTGCATTAGTTAAAGACCTCAATAAATAAGTTAAGTTACAGACTAGTGACATTTCTATCTTTGACAGTGACAACACACAGCAATATCCTGTAGGTTGTACACAGGTATTATGTTTCACTAAATAGCTGGGAGTAGAAAAATTCCCATACAATAAGTTATTTATTTCATATTGTTCCCTCTGGAACTTGACCTAGTGGTGTGGTATGCTAGAATATCTTCACTTACAGGTCAGGACTATAGACTTAAGCACCATTTATAAGATTTTTTTAAGAAAACAGGTACTGTTCAAATATTAATGCAAAGTGGCATAAACTTCATTTTATATAAAGCAAGGCAAAACACATGAAAACTTGTTTTTTTTAAAGTTGTTTTCATCAGTTTGTAAATCATTTTCCTCAAATCGTAACAAATTTTTGACCAAATTTTGGATATGTCTGTTGTTTTATTTAGTTTAAATTCTCGAAAAAAGAACTATAACAAACATGACTTATACAGTAGGATATAGTAAAATGGAGAATTCAAACACCATATGTACGTAGCAATGAAATAAACATATGATATATAAATATATGTTTACATAAATATGCAAAATGGAGTTCTAATATATGGTGCATAATTGTATTTAGTGAAAATCAAAAGTATTATTGTATCTATGAACCATGTATACTATATCATAATTAACTCACATGTCCACCTCTCCTGCATACTAACATATCAATGAAATATGCAAATGTCATCATATTATATAATAACTGTCATACTAAAAATTTACAAAACACAGTCCACATGTATCGGGCCAAACAAAACAAATTCACCATAATATTGTATGATACTTTAAATACATGCAATAAAATGAGATTTACATGGGGGGGGGGATCAAATATGATGTTTTCCCTACTTATCTACCCCATTTCTTCCTCGAGCCGCAACAGGAAAAACTAAGTTTATCATTTTGTTTGGCCTCACTAAGGCTACCAATCTCATACAAAAACTCACATGATCATTCAAAAAACTATCACACATTTTAAGTGAGAGATACATACTGTGAACATATGATAGCGTATAAACCTATAAACATTGAAGATGCACACAACAGACAAGTAGAGCAGTTTTAAGCAAGAGTTTAGATTATCATAAATATTTCATACAAATCACAACTTTGTCATGATGAATATTCAAGAAAAACAGCACAAATTTGTGTATGTGATACCAGCAAAACAGCACAAATTTGTGTATGTGATACCAGCAAAATAGCTCTAAACATGTCATTGTTGTGATTATGTCATTAACACAAATCTAACCAGGTTGTTATTTATCACTTAAAAAACCCGGATGAGGATTACATGTCGCCATATTAAGATATAGATCCGACACCTACTCGTGTTATTTTTTCTCCACATCTGGTGCTTTGTACGAGAATACAATACTAAATTGACCCACAGCACTTTCCAAACGTTAACCCTATTACTGTTACACATGCTCATTGACATCAGCATATTATCAACCACAATCCATATCCTCATATAATTTATTATTCAATTGTAATGACATTTCCTCAAAAACAAATCTATTATATGTCTTACAGATGTTACAACCTATATAGGTGTAGCTACATGCACCATTATCTATTTTCCATAAATTGTTCCTCTTTTTCTCGATTGAAAAGAAAAGAGATTCTGTAAAATTTCCCGATTATACCAAATGAATCCTTCAAGTAGCGATTCCTTTTTTGTGGATTATTTTATTCAGCATTTTACTGAGGAAGGGCAGCTAGAGCTCATATTGCACTATCAGGGGATGTAAATACTATGGTCACACCTGAGTAATTACCTCCCTTTATCATTTAGCCATCCCTTCATACATTTGTTTAAATAAATATAAAAATATTTGGCAAAAAAAGATAACTTTGCTTCAATTCACTCAAAACAATTCTTTCACCAGTAATAATTTAGAGCTGGGTCAATCTTATTTACTAATTGATTTAAAAGAATATTTCTATACAAGCATTTTTCAGTTTCAACCATCATGAAATTGTTGATCTTGTCTGACAGTCATTCAGTATAAAAACAGCATAAATGCCGAAATGACAGTTGAGGTCACAACATTTATCATTAACACAACTGCAAGTTTGTATTTGCAATAACGTTTCACAAAAGCAAATTCCACTGTAAATGATTAACACAAATTCCACACATGTAGTTATTATATCATTCACCACTCTCATTAAATATGCATTATCTTACTATTTAACATATATATTTCAATAGCAATTGATGGAATGATAAATCAAGAAAAAAAATATCGTAGAAAATGTCCTACACTGCGTCTCTTTCTATCACATGTACACGATGCACTGGTCATCGGCATTGGTAAACTTAAAACAGTAAACAATAGTGTATTTTGATTCAAGAAATATATAAAACACTTTGTAATAACACAGATGGGTTTTTTTTCTCCGAATTTCTTTATTACAGAACTACTATTATGTCATAAGTCACTATGGAAATAAATTTCCAAGCTGTTTCCAAGCATTCACTTTTGATGCATTTTAAATTAAGAGTACACCATTATAATATTCTCTTTACAATATGTCACTGAATTTTATGCCTTCAGTGAATTTAGGCATTGGGGTTACCAAAATTTAGACAATCATACTTTGGCGCTTCAGTTTCCGTTTTAGCAACTTTTGTCAAGTTACACAATGGTCTTACTAAGAATGTTATTAATGTAAACAAAACAAAATCACTGGCCTGTATATAAAAATATTTTACAATGCCTATACACCATTCTTGTTGATATCAAATGACACTGTCCATCTAGTAAATATATTTATTGATTTGATTCAAAATTCATCTTATTTTTTTACTGAATAAATCGATACCATGTCCTCAAATGCCAGGCGATTCTCCTCTTCAATCTTTCCCCAACGTCACAGTTGCATTGCTATGGACGTCAATATAAATAAAACGCCACTAAAATCTTTCACCGTCTTGCTAAATAAATTCCGTCAAGTCTTTGGCACACACTACAATCTCTATCGTCCTGACTTAGAATGCTGAATTAACCACTGTAATGTTATATCTGAAAACAGAAAACAGCTACATCAACATTTACAGCCACATTGTTTCAATCCATACAAATTTGTCCAACCTAGCTCAAGCCATACATTTCAAATAATGATACAGTATAAATAGCAGTTTACAATTGAAAATGTACCTACAATCTCTACAAAAAAAACAATTTTGCTCGGTGTATACCGTTTTGAATGAAAAAAAATGCTTTATTGTAAAACTCATTGTAAAACTCATTAAAACTCATTGTAAAACTCATTGCTCATTTATTAAATGTTGAAGCTTAAGAGCTCTTTCCAACACATGAATGTCACAACAACTCTTGACTATATAGTTACTCATAAATCATTTCAACAAATATAATCTCAGAACTGTACGTCAATCAAAGAAACCTGTAATTATATGTGTATATATACAGTGATCAATCTACAATTTATTTTTGTGTGTCCTTTTCAACTGTATTGCTAAAAACAATGGATCCCACAATGATAAATTGACGTACACGTATTTCCAGAAATTCTGTGAGTCCCATCAAAATTCTAAGAGTATAGGACTCAGGACTCATATCGTAGATTTCATGTATGTATATTGAACACTATACTTCTCCCATACTACACAATTAAATATATATCACCTTTTAACTACATTAATAAACAAAGTCTATTAAAAATTACCTACCAATGTTTTCTTTTTCTTTACATGATATTGAATAACAACAGATCTCTCTGTCTTGAATTGCAGACAAATTCCTGAAAACAAAATATTATTATCAAGATCATACATCTATACAGCAAATTGTGTACTTTGTGTCGTCACGTTACTATTGTAGCGTGATGACATGTAATTGTGACGTCATGAATTTGTTCTTTTGAAATAAACCTGAAGAGCCCTGTGAAGGGTGAAATCAACTAGTTTTTGAGTCAGTTGTTAAATCTTATTTTTTCTATATTTACTTACTTCACATGGACATTTAACCTTTTTTTATTATACAGCAAATTATATATATAAAATCAGGCTCTAATTTTAGCATAAACTGATGCTTTAATTTTTAGCAATATTTCCTTTTCAAATGAACTTTCATTGCTTTTATTATAAATCATATTAGACAAATGTAGATAATGAAACAAAAATTTGTAAACTAGTGACAAACTTTCATCAAATATGAAGATAAAAGGTTTGAAGAGAAGCAGTTAAAGTGGAATAATTTATGGACAGGGTAAAGTTTCAATCCATTTTTGTGTAAATTTTAAATGCTCACATCCTTTCTATAAGCTCCTTTTCATCTAGGGAACCGGTCAGGTCCCTTTTGTTACCCAGAACTAACACTGGGATACCCTGAAGCTGTGGTTTATCTAGGAGGTGATGTAGTTCATTCCTAGAGGGCTCAATCTTGTCTTGATCAGCTGCATCTACCATGTATCTGTTGAGAGAAAATCATGGATCAATCTCCCTTAGACCAATACCAAATTGAATGATGACCATAGCTAGGCTATTATTGTTGAACTTGTGATTCACAGGAATGTACATTATAATCAGAAGATAAGTGATGTTTGACTTAGATTAACAAAATTAGTTCTTGTACTTACACAATAGCATTTACTCCCCTGCAATATCTTTCCCACATCGTTCTGAACCGTGGCTGGCCACCAATATCCCACAGCTGAGGAAAAAAGAAGACAAATTAATCTTCTTGATCATAACAAAATACAAATATATTCAAAGAATTCACTTATGAATTCAAAAATATTTTTTTTGTGTTTTTGTAGGCAATGATCATTGCTATTTTCAAGTATATATACATATATTAATACTGATGTTATTTTTGAAATTGTCTCTAACAGAAATCACAAAAAATGTATTTGCTGTAACATTTTGTTTTACTTCTTTTCATTTACCTCACAGACAGTAGAATATTAATACATGCAATTTGTACTACAAATGTAAGGAATGTCATCATTGTCAATACCTTGATTGTGACATTGCCCTTGGTTATCTTCCTCATGTTAAAACCTACTGTTGGGATCATATCTTCACTAAATTGACCCGACTGAAAAAGATGAAATTTTACATAGTTAACAAGAAGACATATTATTTAGTAGCACTAAATATTTGTTTTCATACATACATATTTTAAAACAATTAACTACAGTGACATATTCTATTTGCAAATTTATAAACTGCTTTTAATAATTTATGGTCATCAAATATAATTATACGATCACAACACATAATGATGATATATAAGCTGATACAAAGTTATCAGTATGTATTATGAAATGCATTGGACATAATTGGAAAACCAGGTGTGGGTAAATTACAATTGTTTGGTTTTACCTTTAATTTATTTAGATACATATTTTTCACGAACGTACTATTCTCCCTCAGTGGCAGAGACAAAAAGGTATCTTTATTCCCTTTGAAAGTTTTAGAAAAAAAGGTTCAAATTAAGTAGCTTTGATATAAAACTTGCTTCATACTCTAGTAAAGGCTTAACTTTTCTGGACTCTACACAGCTGTTTTGATTTAGATACTAAAAACCAAAATGTCTCCATCAGACATCAGATGCCAATAATGCTTTCCCTCTGAGCATATATTTATGCAAGCAATTTACCAGAAACAATTGTATTTCTCAACTTTAAAAAGGTGATGGTGACAAATTCTTTTACATTGTAAACGTTTTGGATCCCATGTGGGTTTTCAGTTTTGTTTTGTTCTGGGGTTAACATACATATACTAAAATAAACAAAAACATACCGAGTCAATGGCAATACAGTTTAGATATAAGTTATATGTTCTTCGAATTCCCTTCAGTTCAAAAACTTTACACCTGAACAATACACAGTGATACATACATACCAACATTTCCAATATCAAAAGCACAAGTAGATGCAATACAACTGTTTTAAAGTGTTTACTTCATCTTTTAACAAGGGTTTGAGTTGGGATATTTGTAACAGAAACAGCACTCGAGATGTGTATTTTGGCATAGCGAAAAAATACCACAAACCCAGCTACACAGATTTCAACCCAGAAGCGTCCGAGTCTAAGATGGATGCACTATCTGCTCAGATATATAGCTATCTGAACACAGCGATCAGTCCAGTTCCCTGCAAAATGTATTGGGTCAGATGTCCAAGCATTCATATCAATAGTAAACATACTGCAAGTGTATATGCATGTTCTGTATGTATATAGTCCACTTGTCTTTTGAAAGAAAAATGTTGCTTGCAATTTCCTCTGCACTATAAACAAGAGGCCCAAGGGCCTTAGCGGTCACCTGAGTTATATCATAGGTACTGGTAGCTTTATTTTATTGTTTAGATGTGATGTGGAAATCAGCATGTAAACTAAGTGAAATACAATACTTGTCATGTCATCAATGGATAAGAATTTGAAAATATTGGTAAATGTTCCCTTTGGGGCCCCGCCCTAGCCCCTGGGGATGGGGCAGGAATCC